CCCTCTCTGTGCCCTGTTTGTGTTTGTGCCTATAGAAGCCAGCTTTTACTTGCATTCTGCATGTGAACGTGGCTACCAAGGGAAAAGATGTTAACTTTTGTGCCCTTTTTCAGAAATGACCTCATAACAAAGGCCACTGCTGTACAGTTCAGTTTACAGCTGGGTTATAAAGACTGAGTTTAAAAACTGTTGCTTTGTTAAATAGCACAGTGTGATGGTATTTGCTGTGATTTGGAATTTTACAAGGCTGTGAGTGCATATGAAGAAAATCTTCCACATTTCTAGCTTTGCATTTTTTCAGGACAGGCTGCTTTATTAATTACAGTGCTTTTAAAAAAAAGAGGTGTTTTAATCCGTTATTTCTTCTTAAAGTATTTAAGGTCAGTTGTGATCTAGCTCAAATGAGTAGATATTTGTGTCAGGTTTGTTTTCGTCAGAGTTTTCTGTGTCAGTTTGCACCTGTGGAAGGAGTAGAGGTTAATGAGGGGTTTGCCTGGTTGTTGCATCCCCTAGAAACAGCCTCTCCTCCAGCTCATCCCGAGCTTCAGAACCCTGTGGGGTGTCTCTGCAGCTGGGAGGGCTCAGTGCGTGGGTATTTCAGCCAGTGCCTGCTGAGGAGGTGAGTTCTGCCTGTCACAGCAGAGGCAAGAGGTGTGCTGGGGGGCACAGAGTACCCACAGGCAGGTGTTTCCCTCCTGAGGCCGTCTGTTTGGTTTGTGCTTTGGCAGGTGAGAAAACCGAACCTGCTGCCGGCACTGGGATGTTTGCTCATAATTTTATGGCTGAAAATAAACTGAACAGAAAAGTTAACTGCTGGTTTTATATAGAGGAGGTGTCACCAAGCTGAAGACGTTGGTGTTTGTAGGAACTTCTTTCCTTGGGTAGGAGGTGGACTGCTAAGAACCCTTTCCTTGCCTCTGCCTCACCTCCATCAGGAGGGCACCTGGAGAGATGCTCCCCCCGTGCCTGGTGTACCCGCTCCCGGTGCAGCAGCCCCTCCTCTCTGGAGGCGCAGCACCTTCCTCTCCTTAATTTGCGACAAGATGCACTGTATGAGCTTGGGGAAGCTGCTGGGGCTGCAGGGACAGGGGTGCTGGCGCCCCCAGCCTCGTGGGTACGTGGCAGAGACGCGTCCCTGCCCCAGCTGGTCTGCGAGGAGCCCTCGTGTACCCGGGGTTCACCGTGCCCTTTGCTGTCGTCCTCCCAGCCCTCGCTCCCAGCTGCGAGGTTTGTCACTGATGTGGAGGATTTTGTCGTGGGATGGGTGAAGCTCATGTGCCTTAGCACTCCCAAAAATCGCTGGAAAGAGAATCTGCAGCTTGTTAAAGGCAAGCGTTCTTGTGTCTCTTGGGAAGGTGTCCTAAAGGATTATCTGCGAGAGCTGCCCTCTCCCCTGATAACCAAGCAGCTCTACGAAGCGGTGTTGGATGCCATGGTGAAAAATCCCTTGAAAATGACAGCAAGTGGTTGTGAGAATGACCCAGGTGACTCCGAGCACACAGCAGCCCTTCTGGATTGCCTGCCAGATGTTGAGAAGGTGAGTGGTGTTAGCGGGTTCAAGTGAATCGTATGCTTCAGAGAATAAAGGATCACTTTCACACGGGATATGAAAAGTGTCAAAGTGCATATACCCGTTTCCTCACTTAATGGTCCACTTGGATTTTTGATGCTCTGCGTCTTTGAAAATGCTTTGGTGCTATGATTAATTGGAGAGTCTGCGTTACTGGATTTATTCTAGTTTTCATTTTATATTGTCTCTGTAAAACCGAATGGAAAGCTGTGATCACTCCTTCTGCATTGTTAGATCCAAGATTATTCCCTTGTGGTGTCCTGCTCCATTTTTGTGGAACTCTGATCTGTATATCATCATTACATGGGCAAATGCATTCCTCTTTCCAAAGTATGTGCAATAAAGCCTTGGCTTCCCATACTGTGCAGTGTAATAGTGCTGTGTGCCGTTACCTGCCAAATTCACCTCTGTAGAAAACCACAGTTAACCCATTTTGGGAAGGGGAGGGAGTGACCAAGTGGCCTGCACCATACCTGGAAGTTACCTGGATGCTGGTTCTGATGCTGGGGTGATATTGAGGGTTTCTTTATTTTCTAATGTACTGCATCCGCAGCTTCCCTCCTCTCCCTGATGTCCTGTTTCCACTTTGAGAGAAGCCATCTGTGTAAAACTGAGAGCATGTAGGAAACGAGAAGAATTTTACCAGAACGTCTGTCTTACCTCGTCTGCTCTGTGCCAGTCAAATGCGGCTTTTCCGATTCAGCCCTTCGATGTCCCCCTGATGGGTATTGTAGAGGAGCCATAGCTATCAGCCTTGATCTTACCCTCTAGAGCGGTGATGCGAGGTTGTCAACACAAGTGCTTTCTTTCCTGAGCAGTATTTTGTTCTTTAGGCTACCCTGAAGATGCTGTTGGATCACCTGAAGCTGGTGGCTTCTTACCACGAAGTAAATAAGATGACGTGCCAGAACTTAGCTGTGTGCTTCGGGCCCGTGTTACTGAGCCAGAGGCAGGAGACCACAAACCATAACAACAGGGTCTTCACAGACTCAGAAGAGCTTGCCAGTGCCCTGGACTTCAAAAAGCACATCGAGGTTCTTCACTATTTACTCCAGCTGTGGCCAGGTACTGATTCATGAATCCGATCCAGAGAAACTGTCAAACCATTGCTGTGTGTTTTTTACGATGTGACGGCCTATGTTAATTCACAGGGTGAGGAAATGTGGAAGGTGAAAAAGATCCTGACTTAGCAATACTGAATTACAGATGCTGTGGCTGCGTTTGAGCCAGCCAGGTGGACTGTACTGCTCTGTGTTCAGGCTACGAAGTTTCCTGACTCGTTTAAAGAGTGTTTTGAAAAAAGTGTTTTTTTTTCTTTTTTCCTCTTGTCATCTCCCTCCTCCCTCCAAACACTCTAAGGAGAAATCGCCATTCCTGTAAGGAGGTCCTTGAAGCACTGTTATTCTCCAGGGCCCAGGGAGGGCTCCGGACATGTGAGCATGGATTGGTGAAGGGTGATACCTGGCTGATTCCATGCAATAATTAAGAAAAAAAAAGTGTCCACGTTTCTTGTCTATTTGGAGACATGAGGTATAAATGAATGGAAGTGCAGGACAGACACATGAACGAGCAGCCTTTGTCTTAGTAGCTCATAATCAAACTGTGTAAGATGTATGGTCTTGCTGTTAATTAAAGGAATTTTATGATTACAAAAAAAAGCATAGGAATCTACGCTGTATGGTTATTATGCAGGTCATCTTAAACAGTCTCTATTTAGCCAGGAATACTTGTTAAGGTTTTATCTAGAGATTTATTTTAAATAAGTCTCATTTACAGTAGTTTGCTTGCGTTAGGCATTGCCAGCCACTCTGCCCATATTTTCAGCTGAGTGTACAAGTTGCTTTCGAGCAGCTGAGGTGCAGGTGCTGGGAGGGTGTCACTGGCTGGGCGCCGTGAAGACCTGCTTGGGGGCCACGTACATGGCAGTGCTTTGTACATTTTTCCCATGCTCTGCTGGCCTGGTGGTGGCCGTGCCTTGAAGTCACCTCCTGTGGCAGCCGGCCCTGCGGCTGTACCAAGTACACGCTGACCACGCTCGGAGGTGGCACTGCCGGGCAGCCTCTGGGTGTTGGCTCTGCTCACTGCAGCCTCGCGGAAACCTTCTCTGCCTGAAAATAAGAGCAAGAGGAGAGGTAGTTTGACATGTGGTGCAGCTTCATGATGGGCTGGAGGTGACTGAGGACACTTCGTCTCCCTTGTCAGCTGCAGCTGGACAGCCCCAAAGCTGCTGAGCACCAAAAATGAAAAGAAGCTTTCAGTCAGGTCACTCAGCCCACGCGGGTGAGGTGGGAAATGTGGGTGGAGGAAGAGGGAGACCAGGAGCTGTTTGGGTGGCAAATACTGCACAGGAGCTGATCATGAAACCTTGGGGACGGCTCATGGTACGGCTCCTCTGGGACACAAACCTCTGCCCCAAAGGTTGTGCGTTGCTGTAAAGGGGGCAGGAGCAGGGTAAGTAGTAGAGTTTTCTGTTGCCTCCGAATGAAAGCCGAATGCTCTCCCGTGGCTTGCAAGAGCTGGGCAGGGCGTTGTGCTAAAAGGGAGGTAAAACATGAATGTGGAGACGTGAGCAGGCGAGCACCGTACAATGTAAACAGGACAGCTGGACCTGACAGGTGATCGCAGTCTGGTCCCTTACATTCAATCTTCTGTAGATTGAGACAGCTCGATAATCAACATGTTGTGCAATACTTGAATTTCCGTGTTCTTCCAACCGAAAACAAATAGTCCTTGTTTGGTTAGACCATGTAATACTGGCAAGTTATTGTTAACCCATGGCCCTTTGTCTTAATGGAGCATAGTCTAAACAGAAGGGCTTTTGTTACATTAAGGGCTGGGGGGCGGTGGGGGGGAGCAGTGGTAGTTATTGCAGGTTACTCTGCAAGACGTAAAGTAAAACTAAAATCCCCTGGAGAGATCGGTAATGCAGATGCAGAAATAGAAGCACTGGGCACATCTCAGGACTGAGCCTTTGTGCTTGTGGGCGAGACTGTGAACTGCCCGGGTGTGTGTGCACCACATTTTCACCCGTGAATGGGAATAGAAAGTCTCTGCTGGTAATTACAAGAGGTAATGGTCTGTATAAAACAAAGTTTTGCAGCTCAGACACTTAACAGGCACAGGTCAGTAAACGTATTTGTGCTGTTTGCCATAGGAAGCCGGTAACAGTGGAGGAGACTGTTAGTAACTTACGGTGTATAATCATGAGCTCAGGTAACACTGCCATCACACCTGTGTGAGCGTACGTCTGACGTGGGGTTGTGGCTGCTTAGAAAAATTAGTGCAAATGAGCTTCTTCAGTAGCGCAGAACGTTAGGGCTAAAGAGAAGCGCTGGAGTTCAGCTCTTGGTGCATCTTCAGCTTCCCTAGGGGTTTCTCAGGGTGATATTTTTGTTACCTTTTAACCTCTTTTGCTGTGCCTGCTTTCTCTTACTCCTTTAGCCTGGACAGCGTGAGCTGAGCTGTTTGCTTTTCTTTGACCCAGAGCCGGGTGGTGATTAACTCACACAGTGAATTTAATCGGTGCTCTGGGAGTTTCTACTTTTAGATAGGCTTCTCCGTTGCAATTTGAAGCTGGCATGAATCTTCAAAACTGAGCTTTTACAGTAGCTTTTCTAAATATTTTATATCACACAGTGGCAGAAAACGTAATAGCGGAATGTGTTGGCTGTGAGCTTGCATGTGTTCACGCATGGTGTTAGCGTGTGACGCTGAGGGAGGACAGTGGGCATCTGTTGCGAACTCCTCGTGTTGCAGCATGGATTCGGTGCTGACTGGTTTAACGTCTCCTCTCTTCCAGTCCATCACTCGCCTGCCAAAGAGCCGGCACATTTGAATGCATCTCCCGAGCACCCATCCTCCCTGAACTACCTGAGGCCCAAGAGACAGAGACCTCAGATGCTGAACCTGAGCGGTACCGAGATGTGCGGGGTGCTCAGACCGAGGCCAGCGGGTCTCGACAGCCCGTCGAGCAACCGCTACGCTGGAGACTGGAGCCAGTCCATCACTCGCCTGCCAAAGAGCCGGCACATTTGAATGCATCTCCCGAGCACCCATCCTCCCTGAACTACCTGAGGCCCAAGAGACAGAGACCTCAGATGCTGAACCTGAGCGGTACCGAGATGTGCGGGGTGCTCAGACCGAGGCCAGCGGGTCTCGACAGCCCGTCGAGCAACCGCTACGCTGGAGACTGGAGCAGCTGCGGAGAGAACTACTTCTTAAACCCAAAAGACTGCCTGAGTGAAGCAGACTACGATGACGTGCCTTCAGAAGATACGGAGAGCGGGGATGACAGCAGCAAAGCCGAGGAGCTGGAAGCCCCGGTCAGAGCCCCGCAGCCCGTCCCCGCAGAGCACACGTTTCAGAGCTATTTGACAATGCAAGCCATAGGCTCCGCGGTGGATCACAGGGCAAACCTCAAGGACCTGCAGGAAAGTATCGATACTCTGATAGGAAACCTGGAAAGGGAACTCAACAAAAACAAACTAAATATGAGTTATTAAATCCTGCCCTGTGGGAGGTCCTCTGTGCCCCTCGAGGGGCTTCCCGCAGCCGTGTGAGGGGTGGCGGCGCCCCTGAACGCCTCGTGGTGAGGCCACGGCGCACCTCGTGTTAACAGGTTTCAAGCCATTCCGTTATTTTTCCGCTTTTTTGTTGGAAGAAGGTGATTTGGGTGTTGAAGACGAGCTTAGAGACCGTGAGGTGATTCCACATAGTGGCATTTCTCCCTAAAAACACGATGCACTTCGGTGTTCTGGGCAGTACCTGGCAGAAGATAAAGCGACATCTCTGGTGTCAGCAGGAGCAGAACTCATTCCCGAAGCCCTCGCTCCTGTACAGATGTTCCTCTCGGAAGAGGATGAACGCTGCTTGGCCTAAGTTTTGCAGCATGGACTTCAGATAGACTTGTTTTACTATATATGCAATGGCTGCTATGAAAAATGCTTTATATAT